AGTGGCTGGTACATAGTAGGCACACAATAAATATTTGTTAAATGGGGGCGCCTGGGTGGCTCAGTCGGTTAGGCGTCTGCCTCCGGCTCGGGTCATGATCCTGGGGTCCTGGGATCGAGCCCCATGTCCGGCTCCCTGCTCGGCGAAGAGCCTGCTTCTCCCTTTCCCTGCCACTCTGCCTACTTGTGCTCTCTCTCTATCCCTCTGTCAAATAAATAAATAAAATCTTTGAAAAAAAATATTTGTTAAATGAATAAATCTAGGGGTGCCTGGGTGGCTCAGTCGTTAAGCATTTGCCTTTGGCTCAGGTCATGAACCCAGGGTCCTGGGATTGAGCCCCACGTCGGGCTCCCTGCTCGACAGGAAGCCTGCTTCTCCCTCTCCCACTCCCCCTGCTTGTGTTCCCTCTCTGGCTTTCTGTCAAATAAATTAAAAAATGTTAAAAAAAAATAAATAAATCTAACTTTTTTTTTTTTTTTTTTTAGTGGTTACAGAATATTCCATTGCTAGAATATAATCTTAGGGCCTAAGGTTTTACAAATTAATCCTCTTACCAAGAAGATTTCTAGGAGTAAGGTGGCTGGGTCAAAGCCTCGTGAACTTTCTCCTTGTCAATGGGCCACTGCCTCCTTGAATCCCTTTGCTCTCTTGGCTTCTGTGACACTGTACTCTGGTTTCTTTCCCTACCTTTCTTCCAAGTCTCTTGTCCTGTACTGAAGTTTCAGAGTTGCCCTGAGAGGCAAAATAAGGCCCCCCACCAAAGATGTCCACATCCTCCTCCCCGGATTATAAAATGTTACCTTACACGGCAAAAGGGACTCTGCAGAAGTGAGTGGCTCCATCGGTTAAGTGTCTGCCTTCGGCTCAGGTCGCGATCCCAGGGTCCTGGGATTGGGTCCCTCAGGCTCCTTGCTCAGCGGGAGCCTGATTCTCCCTCTGCCTGCCGCTCCCCCTGCTTGTGTGCGCTCACTTTCTCTCTCCTCTCTGACAAATGGATAAATAAAATCTTAAAAAAAAAAAAAAAGTAATTAGGTCACGGATGTTGAGATGGAGAGTGTATCCTGGGTTATCCAGGTGGGCCCAACGTAATCATGGGGGGCAGGGGGTGGGGTCTCATAAGAGGAAGGCAGGAAATTCAGCATCAGGAGATTTGACCATGGAAGCAGGGGTCATGGTCAGAGTAACTGGATGCAAGAAGGTCTCAACCAAAACTCATGGCTTCAGAGATGGAAGAATGGGCCACACGCCAAAGAATGCAGATGGCTCTAGAAGCTGGAAAATGCAAGGGAACAGATTCCCCCCTCCTGGAGCCTCCAAAAGGAATGCAGCCCTGCTGACAACAGTTTTAACCCAGTGAACCACTCTGGACTCCTGACCTCCTGAACTGTAAGCTAATAAATTTGTGTTGCTTTAAACCACTGAGTTGGTGGTAATTTGTTACAGCAGCCATACGGATTATATGTAGGAATTAGTACAGTTCCCCAGAGCGTAGCTCTGAATTTTCTTCTGCTCTCCATCTAAATGTACTCTTTTGGGGTTTCCATCCAATTTGTGACTAACTCACAGGTTTATATCTCTGGCCCACTGTGTGCATTTTTTTTCCACTTGACAATAATAGATTTCGTTTATAGGTTCTTAATGCATTTTACCGGGCATGTGCTTGGATGCTGTGGGCCCAAATTCATGTACTCAGAAAGAAAAAAAAAATTGCACATTCGCAGTTAATCGTACTTGGATCACTACATTTCCTTGTCATATTGCTCAGATAATACCAGATATTTAAATAGTTCAGTATAGGGGCGCCTGGGTGGCTCAGTCGTTAAGCGTGTGCCTTCGGCTCAGGTCATGATCCCGGGGTCCTGGGATTGAGCCCCGCATCGGGCTCCCTGCTCCGCGGGAGGCCTGCTTCTCCCTCTCCCACTCCCCCTGCTTGTGTTCCCTCTCTCGCTGTGTCTGTCAAATAAATAAATAAAATCTTTAATAAATAAATAAAGAGTTCAGTATATCCCATTGTCTTGAGTGGTGAAACCTTGTTATCCTGCCACTTCTGTTGAAAATTCTGGTTAATCCTTAAACACTTAGAATGCAACGGAAGCCCATTCTCAGTGCCACACATTCCTCACCGTCACAAGCAATACCTTAGGGGGCAATTCTGTGTCTCAGCAGACATTTGTCAACATGTCAAGACACTTGTGTTTACCCCCAGTTTTTTTTTATTGAAGTATAGCTGGCATACAATGTTATATTAGTTTCAGGAGTGCAACATAATGATTTGACAACTCTGTACATTACTCAGTGCTCACCACCTTACGTGTGGTCACCATCTGTCACCACGTCACATTATTACAATACTACTGACTCCATTCCCTGTGCTATACTTTTCATCTCCATGACTTATTTCATGACTAAAAGTTTGTACTTCTAATCCCTCTCACTCAAGAAATTTTTGGTCATTACAACAGGAGAAGGCAAAGAGCTACTGGCATCTAGCAGGTAGATGCCAGCCAGGGATGCTGCTGAACATCCTACAGTGCACAGGACAGCCCCTCACAACAGAGAATTACCTGGCTCCAAACGTCAGTAGTGCTTAGGTTGAGAAACCCTGTCTAGATGAATCCTGTACAGATGTTTTTTCAAAAAGGGTTTGGATTCACTTGGCAACATTTAACCCAATACTGCAGTTGGAAAGTACCTTTAATCTCATCTCTTCTGAGGTTCTTTCAAGCATCTGCTTCCCGTCTCTTTCCAACTATGTCCCTGACAATTTCTATTTCTGAATTCCATTTCTGCAGTGACCCCTGCTACATTTGCTCCACTCCAGGTAAACATACTTGAGTTGCCATGTTCACCCCAAATCCACTCAGGATGACAGCTTCTGAAATGCTAACATTTTCAGACATTATACAGCAAAACCTATCAGAATCCAGTTTACACCCACTTCAAATCACATGGTATTTGGGATTGAAAACCACAATGTGTGCTCTAAACTGTCCAGTCTGGATTCAAAGTTATTAACTCTCTCTCAATGGCAGATTTCTGCAGTTTTCTCCACAATTTTAGAATCAGCAATAGAGTGATCTTTATTTGCCTCAATTGTAGGTATCTGAAGAAATGAACTCCTGTGCTGTACATCTATGATTTCTCCGTTGAGTTGTTCTTCCAAAATATCAACAGAGGTGAGTTAGATCATCAAGACTCCACAGAATGCTGATGACCCAACACTCCCTCTAGTCATGATATTTGAGACCTCGTCCTCTTCTGTAGCTAGTGCCTTAGGGGTTTTTTGTTAAGAGTAGCCATTGTGGGGCACCTGGCTGGCTCAGTTAGTGGAGTGTGTGACTCTTGACCTCAGGGTGGTGAGTTTGAGCCCCACACTGGATATAGAGATTACTTTAAAAAAAAATAGAGGGGGGTAACCATTGGGGCTCTGGGGAAAGAGGTGAGAGGAAGCAGAGGATGGCGTCAGCTGCATCTTTCTCTTTGGGCACATGAACTGCAAAGAGAGGAGGCAACACCCCATTCCCCATACACATTCTTTAATAAGTACTACCCCATTACCTTCCCAAAAGGAATGTTCAGTCCAACCAACACTGTACCAGTGCATTTCTTGATTCACCTCTTGCCCATAATGAATTTTAACAATTTTTTAAATATTGACAATTTGATGTGTAAAAATGTCTCACCGTTGAATTCTTTTCCCTAATTCGTATATGCCAAGAATTTTTAAAGATCTACCTTGTATTGTATCTATCTAACTTTAGGCATAGACCCTACAGCCTTTACCACTAGATGCCAGTATTAACACTTCTCCCCCTATCCTGACAACCAGCTTGTCTCTAGACTTTGCCAAAAGTCCCCTGGAGGGCAAAATCGCCCTCTTTGAACCAGCTGAAGAATACTGAGGTTGGACCACTCAAAAAGAGCTGGAATATTCGGAAATACCTGAACAGCCAGTGATATCTCACTGATACTGTCTCCTCTCTTGGCTTCTGTGACCCAGTGCTCTCGCGGTCTTTCCCCACCTCTCTGCTCCCTCATTCCCAACCTCCTTTCCTGTAGTCAAGTTTCAGAGTACACCAGGGCCTTCTGCTCTCCACTTAAACTTACTTCTTCGGGGTTTTCATGTAGTTCTCCAACTTTAAAAGGTATCTCTAGTGATACACTAAAAAAAAAAAAAGTGTATTTCTGCCTCATAGAAAAGGTGCCTTCCAACCTGCTGGGGGAAGAGATGGCGCTGGGACACCGGAGAGAGCGCACCTCTGCAGGTGGGCTGTCAGGTCTTGCTGGACTTTCTTGGGCCAGAGGCTCCCTTTGTGAGCACCCACAGCGAGGGTGTCATTACCACGTACACAGCAATCTACAGGCGACTCCGGCTGCCAGTGCTTCCAGAAAGACCCACGGAGGGAGAGGGGGACGTGCCGCGAGGCGGTCAAAGCTGAGGATGGCTGTGAGTGAGACCACAAGGGATAGAGAACAGTAGGAGTGTGCGCTCGCAACGCGATCCCGGCCGGGTCACCGCGACCCCGAGCTCAAGCCCGGGATGCGGTGAAATGAGCTAATCATCCGTGTCGGAGCGCCAGTTCCCCGCCAAGCTGAGCGTAAACCCGTCAGTGGAGGAAACGAGCAGCCTCGCTTTCAGGAGCCAATCAGAGACCACGCAGGTCTATTATGACAACCCCGAGAACCAATGAAAAACGGGAATCCTCTTGGCCTGCCTCCCGAGCGCCTGTACCGGGAGAGATCACCGGGAGGGAGTTTTTAGAAAGTACAAATTAAAAGACAGGTGTGTGGCTCGACGGCGGGACACTGCGTTTACAAAGATGGGTGCTGAAAACAGTATGAGCGAGCAGAACCTCACCTCCCCGAAACCTCGCGGACGGTGGACCTGCAAGTCACCCCGAGCCAGGGATCAGGGTACGTGCTGCGCGCTGACGTCACGCGCCGGCCCCGCCCCCAGCTCGCCAGCCCTTATAGCGTAGCCCGGGCGCGCGCGCACCATTGTGTGGCTGGACTCGGCCGCCGTTGCGGTGTGAGGCGCGTGTTCGGGCTCTCGCCGTCCCCGCACCCGCACCGCGGCTTTTGCCTTGCGGTCCGCCGTTCGATAGCCAGCCTTCGGGGCCCCTGCCCGCCACGGACATGCCACGCGTCTACATAGGACGCCTTAGTTACAACGTCCGGGAGAAGGACATCCAGCGCTTTTTCAGTGGCTATGGCCGCCTCCTCGAAATAGACCTCAAAAATGGGTGAGTCGGGCCTGGTCGCCGCGTCCGCCTGCAACAACCCCGGGTCTGGGCGGCGGGGCCCGCCGGACGGAAGAGGGCCAAGGCCGCGGCGCCGCGTGGCAGGCCCTCCAAGATGGCGGCGGCGCGGGGCCGCGGGGGCGCGCGCGGGGCCGCGGGGGCGTGCCCGTGCGCGTCACCGGCCTAACGACGCCTCCCGGTCCCCGGCCTTCGCGCCGCCCCCCAGGTACGGCTTCGTGGAGTTCGAGGACTCCCGCGACGCCGACGACGCCGTTTACGAGCTGAACGGCAAAGAGCTCTGCGGCGAGCGCGTGATCGTGGAGCACGCACGGGGCCCGCGCCGCGATCGCGACGGCTATAGCTACGGAAGCCGCAGTGAGTCCCACCCCCGCGCGCTCCGCGTCCTTGGGACCCTGGGGGGCGGGCGCAGGCTTAGGGTGGGCGGGGTGGGGCCTCCCAGCCCGGGCAGGCGCGGTGGCAGGGGTCCATTTATTCCAGTGTCCCCGGGCTTCGCTGCCTTCACGCCTGCCCGGGGCAGCCGCGGGACGCCGGAGCGCGGGGATTGGGTTGTGGGTTTTGCCTAGCAGGGTTGGGGTGTTTGGGGTTTATTATTATTATTATTTATTGGTTTTTGCTAAGTTGGGAGGGGGGTGGTTTGGGCCCCTGTCAGCACTGTCTTGGGCTCTGCCCACGGAGGAAGTGAGGGATGGCTGTATTTGTTGTATCCCCCTTGCTTACCTGACAGTGCTTTAGCTAGAAATGTGAATGTGTTAGCGTAGAAGTGCGAGGGCAGGCTGGGGTGGGGGGGAGTGGGGATGGGGTCAGGGGAGGGGCTTTAAGTTTAGGTCTTAGAGTTATTAAAATTGGCGGGGGCCAAAGAAAATACTATTTTGAAGTAATGTGGTATGGTACCACAAAGTAGACTTAAATAAGCTTTATGCTGTATTCGAATTAGTTTGGGGCATGTTATTGGGAGGAGGTGGGAGGGGTTTGGTTATGTTAAATGTTTGATGTTGAAATTGTTGCATGTTGAATTCAAACTTTTTAACAAGTCCTTGATGTTTCAATTTGAAAGTGACCAATGGGGCTGAGGCTGTGTCCACTGAGGCTAAGATGACTGCCTTTCCTGATTGGCCTTGGCTTTTCCATACATTGTGTGACCCTTGCCCTATGACCCTTTGGCTGACCTTACCGGAAGCCATGACGACAGCAGCCTTTTGCCATTAGACGCAGGGTGATGGTGAGGATTCCAAGGGTTAGACAAAACTGGTTAATCTGAACTAGGTGACTGTTACCTTGCGTGTTTTGTGGCCAAACCACCACCAAAAACCTCACACTGTGATGTAAGTACTTAGTGTAACTAGTAAACATTTTTGTAAAATGTAGAAATGCATGTAATCAGTTAAGTTTTATATTTTACAATGTTCTGTAAAATAAAACTTAGCGAGGTAAATTGAATAAAGGAGCAGTCACTCTCTAACAGATTGTAGGAGGAGTTTAGTTGGATTTAGTCTATTTGACTTGCCCTTAATTTAATTTATGGCAAATCACAACTGTATCGAAGGTTTAGCAATATAATAGCAAAGTCCTACTCCAGTAAATAAAAGTTGATATGTTTGTACTAACTTTCAAAAAAACATGCATCCCTATCATTACAAAGCACCTAATTATGCTCTTCGTGTGATAAAGGTGGTGGAGGTGGATACAGCAGTCGGAGAACCTCTGGCAGAGACAAATATGGACCACCTGTTCGTACAGAATTCAGGCTTATTGTAGAAAACCTTTCTAGTCGTTGCAGTTGGCAAGATTTAAAGGTACGTGCTATAATTTGAGATAAAAATGATATGACTAATGTTTAAAGGGTAGGCCTTTGTTTCACTTTATTTCTGAGAATCAAGTACAGCATGTAGATCTTTTTCTTTACCTTTCTAGGTTTGACTAGTCTTGTTGCTCTTTTAGGATTTCATGAGACAAGCAGGTGAAGTAACCTATGCGGATGCTCACAAAGAACGCACAAATGAAGGCGTGATTGAGTTCCGTTCCTATTCTGACATGAAGCGTGCTTTGGATAAACTGGATGGTACAGAAATAAATGGCAGAAATATTAGGCTCATTGAGGATAAACCACGAACGAGCCATAGGCGATCTTATTCTGGAAGCAGATCAAGGTAATTTGTTGAAAGAAAGGGAGAGGAGAGGAAACAATATTTGCCAAGAGCAAAGAAAACTCAAATGGCAGTACTTGAATTGAGACTTAATTGAAATTAGTTCAGTACTTGGTTTCTTTTTTATTGTGCATCATTGGGTTCTTTTCCAGGATGCTTTCAGGTGGACTTAATTGGTAGTAAACAATTATATTTTTCTTGTGTATTTTTTGTATTTTTGAATAAAATTCGTGTTGAGATGTATTGGGATTAAGATTTTTATTATGCTTCTGGTTATAGGTCACGGTCTAGAAGAAGGTCACGAAGTAGGAGTCGCAGGAGCAGCCGCAGTAGATCTCGAAGCATCTCAAAAAGTCGCTCCCGGTAAATATTAAGCTGTTAGGTCTTTTTTCTGATTTTTTTCTGTTACTCTACTTGTATGTTCTGGCAAGGTACTGAAAAAGAAATCCAACTCTTCTTGTCCAGATCCAGGTCTCGGAGCAAAGGTCGATCACGTTCTCGATCAAAAGGCAGGAAATCTAGATCAAAAAGCAAATCTAAGCCCAAGTCTGATCGAGGCTCCCGTTCGCGCTCTCGAAGCAGATCTAAGGAGTATGAGAAATCTCGAAGCAGGTCTCGTTCTCGATCTCGTTCCCCCAAAGAAAATGGGAAAGGTGATATAAAGTCAAAATCTAGATCAAGAAGCCAGTCTCGTTCAAATTCACCCCTACCTGCTCCACCCTCAAAGGCACGTTCTGTGTCCCCTCCACCAAAAAGAGCTTCAAGATCCCGCTCTAGATCTCGTTCAAAGTCCAGATCACGGTCCAGATCGAGTTCCAGAGATTAACCTAGAACTCTATATTCTTTGCACACTATTATGGAACACTTTCCTACTTGGCTTAGGCAGTTACTCTTCCATGTTTGTACTTGGCCTCTTCTGCAAGAGGAATCTCCTGAAAATGGGGGCACACAGAAATTTGATTTGTGGCCAAATTTGATGAAAAAATGAGGTTCTAAAGAAATGGCATGAAGTCGAAGACCCTCTCCCTTCTTTGTAGAATTAAGATAACTTTGATTTTATAGCTTTTGAGCTAAAATAACTTTTGTAAAGATTAAGCTCATTTAGATTTTTTTTAAGTATTTCAGCAGGATCTGCTGCAGGGATTTTTGTTGTTTTGTTTGCTTTTAAATTAACCGTTTCAAGCTTTGAATACCTAAGGCTTTAGAGGGAGATCCCAATTTTCAATTATGTTGGCTTTTTATAAAGCTTGAGTTATGTAAGATTTCAATAAAAATTTGCTACCAAGTTGATTGCCTTACTGAATAGGTCACTATTAAATTCCTTTAAATATTGATAATTTGCTCTTTGTGGAAACAATGTAAATTCTACATGTGTAAAAGAAGGCAAGCCTCAGACCAGCAATAAATTATTCCATTTGGATAACATTTTGTTCTGTTAATCAAATTTGCCAAAGTCTATCTGCCCCTTTGAGTTAAGTTAAAAATAAAAGGTGTTTTGTAGTCAATTACATGATTTTGCCTAAGTTAGTAGATTTTAAATAATGAAACTTTTCAAACTTAAATTTGATCAAACTCTTGAAGTTCTTAACACTTGGGATCCCGTTTAGCCTAGTAATTCCACTTTCTGGGAGTGGTCAGTGTAATTGGTGTTTTGTTAGAGTATGGTTCTATGGTCTTTAATGTTATATAAAAAAGGAAGTAGCCTTTCTTTGATTGGAAATTTAGCATATTCTTGTTCAAAGCGGAAAAGCAAATAACTGCATTTTCTGCTGGAAGATCATTACATTTAACAGGCACTTAACAGGTTGCTTGGTAAGATCAGTTGCTGAATGAAGTAAAATTCTACCCAACAGTCAGTCCTTCTTGTAGATGATGAGGTTATGTAATAATTGGTTAGATCATCCTTGTAACTTTACAACATATGGTTGGCTTGAGAAGAATTTACATGGGTAAACCCGAAGCTTTCTGTACTTCATTATGAAGTGTAATAATATGCTGTGGAAGCCAAATTATACTGCAAATTTGTAGGAGATACTGGGTAACCAGTTAGTCCATATATGTGTAGACCTAATTAGTTGGAATTGCAGTTTGAGAAATGAATTACCTTATATCTTTTTGTTCAAGTACCATAACTCATTTAAAAGCACTCATTAACCTTGGTTTGAAACTAAGATGTAGGTTATTTGACTCCGCTTTCTTTTCTTCTGGGAGCTATCACTGTAAGGTATCGGGCTGGGTTGTACTATATAGTAGGGCATGGTGATAACAGTGTCATCATGCCACAGGTGTGACTAGAAAGCATGATAATCTACTAGAGTTGGTTTGTAGGTTCAAATAATCCAGAAGGCTTACCTGATAAAATGAGGCTGCTTGAAAAAAAGTCAAAAGATTTTAGGTGTCAAAATCACAGAGTAGCTGGGAGTACTTGATAATAAGTAGAAAGACTTGTTTTTGAGAAATTTCTGGGCTTCCTGTTATAAAATCTTAGAGCCTACTCTTTGGAATATTGTGCCCTAAAAGGTTGATGCTTCTTCCACATGACCTTATTTTCTTTACTTTCATACTTTCTAAAATTTAGGTAATAAGAAATGGGTTTTTTTCCTGTATAAACTTCAGAATTTGAGAGAAGACACTGGTGTCATAGTTCATTATTTTGCCTACTTGAAAAAAATTACAACTCGTGTGAAGAGGCGCGTCTCCAGCTGGCTTTCAGAATTTGGTTTAAGAATTGGCTTTGACCAAAGTTCTCTTGTTTTCAGGGAAAAAAAAAAGCTTTTAAAACCACAGCCTTTTAAAAAGGAAGGAGGGGGGAATATCACAGTGTGAAATTTGACTTTGTAAAGTCATCCTTCAACGGGGCTTTCTTGTGTTAGTATAACATCACATAGTCATAGGTTTTGTCTACGTTGTTAGCTGCCCCCAAAGTGGGTAATTGTAAGATAAATGCCTACACCCATAACTTTTCTGGTAATGGCAAAGACCAGCTTAGTGACAATCTAGTCCTAGTCCATACCTGTGGACCTCTACATGATTGAATATGCTAAAGCCCTAGAACAATGGCCCACTTGAGAACAGAGTTGACTGAAATGTTTAGTTCCTTGCTAACTTATAAGTAGGATCTGAGCATCTACACCATGCCATGTGTACATCTGTGGCCAAATAGAATATTAAACTGAAAGGGCAAAAACAAATGAGCAACATCATGATTCCCCTTTCTTTTACCTGATAATGTTGATTGACATGCCATAGTGCCTTTAAGGCCAGTTTGAGTCCTACCAGTTCCTGTGATTTATGTTCCAGTCCTGTGTTGTTAATTACCTTCATCTTGGTATCTTTTTTTTCTCCACTTTGTTACCCCCCTTCCTTTATGCTTTATCTCCTCAATAAAATGCTTACCGAGGGAAAGGCTCGTTTTGAATTTATTTGTATTCCCACTTAGTGCCAAAAATTTGGCAAATGGTTTTTTTGAACTAGAGTTGCCACTGGCAAGCCATTCCTGACTTAAGTAGGAGAAAAAGGTCTTGTTTTCGGTTCCTCAGAGACCTGCATTTAGGATCAACACAGTGGATGGTTTATCTTGAGCAAGTCTTTAACAGTTGTGCTTGAATGTTATCCATGAAGTAAGCATAAGCCATGAGTTGTGCAGATAGGTTAATATCTAGGGTGTCTGGCTGGCTTGGTGGAGCATGTGACTCTTGATCTCAAGGTTGTAGGTTGGAGCCCCTAGAGATCGGGTATAGAGATTACTTAAAAAATTTTTTTTAAATAAAGGTTAGACACTGGGTGTTACACACAAACAATGAAATCGGAACACTACATCAAAATTTGATAATGTATGGTGACTAACATAACAAAAGTAAGGGTTAGGGGTGCTTGGGCGACTTGGTTAAGCGGCTGCCTTCGGCTCAGGTTGTGATCCCAGAGTCCTAGGATCGAGCCCCACATCAGGTTCTCTCTTCAGCACGGAGTCTGCTTCTCCCTCTGCCTGCTACTCTCCCTTGCTTGTGTGGTCTCTCTCTCTCTGTCAAATAAATAAATATTTAAAAATAATAGTAATGGGCGCCTGGGTGGCTCAGTTGGTTAAGCGACTGCCTTCGGCTCAGGTCATGATCCTGGAGTCCCGGGTTCGAGTCCCGCATCGGGCTCCCTGCTCGGCAGGGAGTCTGCTTCTCCCTCTGACCCTCTTCCCTCTCGTGCTCTCTATCTCTCATTCTCTCTCTCTCAAATAAATAAAATCTTTAAAAAAAATAGTATAATAAAGGTTAATAAGTGGAAAGTACTTAGAATAGTGCCATAATAAATACTATTTGCTACTGTGAAGAATTAAGCATACTAAAGCTTTGTGTCGTCCTGCTTTATTTTCACATTAAATTTTGTTACCTGTTAACCTTGTAGTAATTTGAACATTTTCCATAATTATTTCTCAGGAAAACTAAAGCCTTAATCACCTTTTCCAAAGTCCTTAACCTAATTTCCTTAATTTAAGACTTGGAGGACTCTAAACTTTGGTAGTTTACATTTAGGAAACTTCACATTTTTGTTATTTACCTTGTTTTCAGAAAGCGTTTTCTGACTTTATCCAATTTCAGGCCTATGGCAGTTGAATGTTCTTAAGTTTTGACTTAATTGCAGGAGTAATAATGTACTTGGGAACATAAAGTATCTTTCTTTTGAGCCCCCTGTAAGGTAGCTGCTGTTTATATTATCTGTCTCTGCCTAGTCTTTGGTCCTAATATCTATTCCTTACAACAGGTTGTTCTTACCATGAGTGGTGTTCTGCAGCTTGTTTTTACTTAAAACCTAGAGATCTGCTATTTTAAACGGCTGACTAGTACACTCCTGAATGGATATGTATAAGTATACTTTTTCAGTACCAACATTGTTTTATTGAAGTAATTAATCCCTTGGCTTGTGTGACAGGAATGAAAAATACTACTTGTAATATTCAAAATCAAACAATGAGAATAGAGAGTTTTTACATAGTTTAGTACCTGCTTATCAATTTACACATTAAAGTTTGTTTTGAGCAATACCACTTCTTGAATAAGGTGGATCTACGTATGTTTGCTCTATTTGCTAAAAGGATGAGTTGACGGGATTGTGTAATCTTCTAGGTCCTCAGTAGCTTGTTTAGATTTTTTTGGCTATGTTACAGCAAAATGATTAACTTTTTTTTTTTTTAAGATTTATTTATTGTAGAGAGAGCGCGCAAGTGGGAGAGAGAAAATCCCCAAACAGACTCCCCACTGAGCGCAGAGCCTGACTAGGGGGCTCTATCCCTTGGGGCTCTATCCCAGGAGCCTGAGATTGTGACCTGAGCTGAAATCGAGTCAGCCACTTAACTGACTGAGCCATCCAGGCGCCCCAGTAATTAACTTTTTATACTAGAACAGGAGGAAGGAATTGTGGTTAGTTCAAAAGTTGGAAGATAAATACAAAAGGGTTAATATAGCAAATTCCACCTTTGAACCCCTTGGAGGAAGCCAAGATTGCTAGTTTTTTGCTCATCCTTCTGGAGATGCAAATCTAGAAAAATTGATATTCCCTAGGTATTTTCATCATAGTTAATTTTACAAAGGCAAGTAACAGTATTGCAGCTCAAACACTAGAAAACTATTCGTAATTTTTATTTACTATTAACATCCATCTATACCTATTTTCTTTAAAAGTTTGTTTTTTTCTTTTTAAAGATTTTGTTTGACAGGGAACACAAGCAGGGGGAGTGGGAGAGGGAGAAGCAGGCTTCCCGCGGAGCAGGGAGCCCAACGCGGGGCTCGATCCCAGGACCCCGGGATCACGACCTGAGCCGAAGGCGCAGACGCTTAACAACTGAGCCGTCCAGGCGCCCCTATACCTATTTTCAATATTTCTAAGGAAGTCTTAGAATTACGAAGATTTATAAGCATAGGCAGGATTTAAATCCTAGTTCAGTTCCTAACAGCCCTAAAGCATTAAAAAAAGCAATGTAGGGCGCCTGGGTGGCTCAGTTGGTTAAGCGACTGCCTTCGGCTCAGGTCATGATCCTGGAGTGTCGGGATCGAGTCCCGCATCAGGCTCCCTGCTCAGCAGTGAGTCTGCTTCTCCCTTGGACCCTCCCCCCTCTCATGCTCTCTCTATCTCATGCTCTCTCTCAAATAAATAAATAAAATCTTTAAAAAAAAAAAAACTATATGTCAGATAATTCCTAGTGAAAAGCACTCAAGAAATTAGGTTAAGGAAGGCCCAGAAAGTACAGAATGCATGTACTTTCAAGTAACTATTTTGATAAATAGGAAAAACCTGTACAAAAAACTATATACCCTTTTCACATTCAGTAATTATACTTTGTTTCATTTACGTATTTTTTTCCCTGAATAATAGGAAAGTAGAGACATCTTGCTGTTTTATCCCGAAAAACTATTTCCTAGTAATGGGACACTCCTTATGTAACTACAGTGCCTACGAAAAATAGCATCAATGAAGTAGTTTCTACTCCATGGTCCATAGTTATGTTTCATTAGATGTCTGCTAATATCCTTTACATTAGCCAGGATCATTTGCCACATTTTGTTGTCCTGGCTCTTTGGTCTCTTCTAATCTGGACCAGGTCCTCTTGACCTTGTCATTTTTGAAGAGTAGAGGACAGTTAACTTTGTAGAATTTCCCTCAATTTGGGTTTGTCTGATTGCTCCTCATGATTGAATTTTTAGCAGGAATATCACAAGAATGAGACTGTCCTCAACGCATCATATCTAGTCATTTTATAATTACCTGTAAGTCAGTACTTCTGTGACTAGACAGTCTTATAAATAAGGTTCAAAGAAGGAGTTTTTGTTTTTAGGGAGGGAGCCAATCATTTTCAAATTTAAGAGCTGCTGAAGGGGGCGCCTGGGTGGCTCAGTTGGTAAGCAACTGCCTGCGGCTCAGATCATGATCCTGGAGTCCCATGGGACTCCCTGCTGCTTCTCCCTCTGCCCCTCACCCCTCTCATGTGCT